AAAGGAGGTAACAGCCAAAACCTCCCACCTCATGCATGGGAATCCACTCTCCCCGTAAAAATACGGAAGCGTACTCAAGCTCATCAAAAGAGATATGTGTGAGCTTACGGAAAGCCCTCGAGGCAAGATACTCGAAAAATGCGACAAGAATTTCCACTTGGGTGTCTTCATCTATTTCCTCGAGGTCGTCAGAGCGAACATCATAATCTTCCAGCTAAAAGTATATTTTCTGAAATGTGCCTTATGTAAAGAAATAAATTAACGCACCTTATCTAAGAACGGCCTTGGACGATTAAGACAACCTGGAATCCGACCGATGGCAAACAGGATGAGGATAAGGCAGATGTGGTGGTTTTCAAGTCCACCTGTCAAGAGTTTATTTCGCTCTGCCCATTCCGAGACGACAAACATCAGTCGAGCCAAACCTGAGATTATGGAGATCTTAGAAACTACTACATAACCTCTCTAAATATAAGGATAATTTTGGTTACACTTGGCATCAATTCTTCAAATCATAGATGTGGCTTAGAAACACGTAAAATCTCAAGCACTTACGATTTGCCAATCTTGAGATTAAATGTCGGTATCCACATGGTTGTCGATGATAGAAATGGAGAGACTTTCAACAACGTTTTGATAATAACAAAATTTATGTACTTTAATAAGGCTTTATCTGTAGATCAATGTACGCAAGACTACTTTACATTTTTCCCTACGTTTGCGTTACGAGTCACGGGCTAATTTGTCCAAGTCGTTCACTTTCTAAGCTTTTTCGTAGAAAATTTTTTTACCAAGGCTGATGAAAGATTATAGACCACAAACCGTTATAGTGCTCCGTATACATCCGGATCGGCATCAGCACCTCATGATTTGGATAATTTACAAAATTGAAAAATCTCGCTTTGTTCTCTTTACAATACTCTTCAATGCGTTGTTTCAACATCTAAAATATCTCTTTAAAGGTAAATACATAATCTTTTTAATGCAAAATCACCCACATCATAAAGTGGTGTTGCAGCTGGTATATGGTCTTCCTCGTTAATTACTCGTTCTTGTTTCACGACAGCCAGCACGTCGTATGCCAGCCATGCAAATGATAGAATTCTCTCCATCGTTTGTTGTGCAGTTCCTGTGAGAGTTGAGCAAGATCAAATATTTCTAGCAAATACTTGAGTATGATCGACAAAAATATTGAGTTCAATGGAGCATTTTCATTAAAGCTGGTTAGAAGGCAAAATAAGACTACAAGTCTTGTTTTAGCGCACAAGATGTGAATGCCAGACAAGCGTGGCAATTAGAGACAGATGTCTGCTTTTTTTTTGAAATTATTGCGCTAGCACTATGTACATAGCAAAATCCATTTGCAAGTTTATTGATGGTATAGGCAACAAATCTTGATTAAGAAGATCCAGAAAAAGATCGGAAAGATCTTATCATGCTTTAAAATTAATACTCATTCTCTCTAAGCTTTCATCTTCAAAATAGAAAAAGGGGAAATATTGCAAGCAACACTTACCATAGCACACTCGGTAATAAGCAACAGCCTTTTGCTGCATTTCCAATGGTGG